GGATATAAATGATCAGATTCAAAATGCAGCATTTATGTACCCACCGAATCCTTGGAAGGAAATTTCTAGCGAAGGTAAAAGAAATTACTTTTCTCTATTGGAATGTTTTTATATGTGGATGACACGTTCAAGTGCTTAAACCTCAGGGTTCAGTCAGAAAGGAGTGTGAGAATTATTGATAGTTTGAGTTTAGTAGACTATGCTGAAGTGGATAAATATGAGCTGGCATATATTTGTGTCAAATATAAATTGTCAAATATAATACTTTAGATCATTTTCAGGGCAGGAGAATTAATAGATTTAGGAAGAAAATTGAATTAGATACATGAGAAGTGGTATGAATAGCCTGAAACATCACAAAATTCCCAGGGAAAGGTGAAATAATGTGTGTTTGCTGAATGCTGATCTCAAACCATACTTTATCTAAACTGTAATCACTGCAACAATTCAATGTTGAATCTGGAATTTGAGTTTTGTACATTAGCAAGTATGAATCTAAATGGCAGGTCTGAACAATGCTGAAGTTTATGAGGGTGATCTTTAGATAACTCCAGTGCCAGCTTCGTTATGAGTGACGTGCATATGATTAACACACAGGTAGGTGTGGAAGGACATACATGAAAGTGTACAACAGTGAAAATAGCTACATCATTGTTGGACACAGGACTATGCTCACCAAAATCAGTAGGAAAAAAGATTAACAAATAATATAGTAAAGCTTCTAGTGTTTAAAAGGTGGGGGGAAGCTTACCCCATAACTAGTTTGTAGCCTTGTTTAACATAAGCAAAACTAAATATAAAATTCAAAGGTTTGGTTAAATTTAAGCGTTCAGTAGGCTATACACAAGATTCATTTCCATTGCGGTATGTGACTAATGATAGAGGTGATTAGTACTTAAACAACATAATTTTTGTTCTTTTTTTGTTAGCTATTGATTTAATAAACAATTTACTTCAAGTGAAGATGAGAAAACGCTTCAGTGTTGACAAATCCCTTAGTCACCCATGGTTACAGGTAAACCTGTCTGCCTTTTTCACTGTGTGTATAATGTGTGAATAATGACTTTTTTGGCTGAAATCCTTCAGGGGCCTATGAAAACTGCTCCTATCACATTCTTTTAACAAGCATTCATGGAGGTTTGAGTATTTTGGGTTTTAGGTTTACATACACATCTGTGTGTCCAGGATTCTGCCCATCTGTTAATGGCTTTTTTACTCAAAGGAAAAGTACCTTATTGTCTCTCCCACCCTTTACTTTCTGTCTGATACTGACATAGTTTTAGTTTTCTGCTCCTCCCATGAATGTGGGCAGTGATGAGTGCATGGAGCCCTGTAAAATCAGCACAGAGACAAACACTGTTTTGTGCTGAAGTGGACACAGGCTGGTGTGTGCTGTAACCTGTAGCTGGTTTAGAACAGATTGGTTTGGAATGGAATTTCTCCTGCTTTGATGTGGGTTCCTTTCATGGAGGTTTCACAATACTGTATGCACATAGCCATGCACTGACATAACTGAAAACACGTTAAGGGGAAAATCTAATTAATTTTGAGAACAAACAATATTGGAATGAGTATAATTTCATGTATGTGCATATACACAACTAGTTTTATAATGCAGGTTCATAGCTCTCTCCTTACAAAGTTTTTGTCATTCACAGCCTTCTATATTAGCCTGTTTAACTTAGAGCTATTTTTAGTGGACTCTGTTGGGGTATTTTGTTGGAGGGTGCTTGGGTTTGGTTTTTGTGTTGTTTTTTTTTTTTTTATAAACAGATCTTGCTGATGGTATCCTGTGGCTATTTATGCTAAAAGTAGAGACAGACTGCAGAACTTACTTGTGGGAATGTAGTGCTGCTGTTTCCTAAACTGCTTCCTTAAATCTCTTTGGCTCATTAGGATTATCAGACTTGGCTCGACCTCAGAGAATTTGAAACACGCATTGGAGAGCGTTACATTACCCATGAGAGTGACGATGCACGCTGGAAAGAACATGCTTATGAACACAACCTTGAGTATCCCCAGCATTTCATTATGGCTCCTAATCCAGATGACATGGAAGAAGACCCTTGATTTATTCATTATGCTGAATTGCAGCAAAGAAGGATACTCCAGACAGAAGCTGAAGATAAGTTTTGGAACAGCTATTGCTCTTTCTGAATGCTGTCACATAGTTTGGTGCGTCAAGCCCCAGAGGATCCTACATGGACACGGGAATGGGAGCAGACTGTCGTCCAACAAGCTTTTCTCCATCTCTGACTTAAACTACAAGTAGTTACTGGACAGTGGGATGAGCCTTGTTGGGTAACATTACACTAAGCTGTGTGGCTGCAAAGCCATTACTGAGGTGTAATGTGTACAGATTGAATGGTTTGTATGTTTTTCAAGGGTTTTTGTTTTGTTTTTTCATAGCCTACACAATAAGAATTTTGGAATAGTTTTCTAATCCCTATTTACTAGGCCATAGAGGACTGTTTTCTGTTACTTGGATACATCTCCCGTTTCCTAAACTGTGGATGGTGAAAAGAGACTCCAAAGAGAAATCAGTGGAGAACACCTTGGCTAATAGCAAAACGTGGTGGTTGAGTCGAATACAGCTTCATAGATGAAGGAATAATTTGCTGCTGTTAAGACAGTTAAATATGTGTGTCTTTGCCCTAACTGAACTTTTTTCCAGATGCCAAAAAATAGCGAAAACCCCGTAACTTCTTACATTCCTCTTGAAATGCTGGCTGACAATCTAAGGAGATGACAATCAAAGCTATGCCAAGTCCTTTATTTTGTCTGCTGAAACAAAGCAATAAGCCACAACAGTGCACTGCTGTGCAAGGCATTGATACACACCAAAGGCATTTTGCCTTAAAACTACACCAGTAATGCACAGAAAGCATGCAAGACTTGATGTAGCATATCCTTTCACTCTGGAAGACCAGCTTCTAGCAGAAGGATGTGGAAGAATAGGGAAAAATACATGCAGCTTTCTTCTGTTATTTTGAGTCATTAGGTTTTTAAATTTTTCTAATATTTTTCTAAGTTTTTTAAGGTTCCCTGGACTTACATCAGGAGTAGTTTGTAGCCTGCTAGCTTGTATCTTAACTCTGCTCAACACCTAGGAGTAACGGTGGATACCACATCACCTGTTGCTTCTGCCAGGGCAGCTGGATTGTAGGAGAAAGACTCTGCCTTCCCACCTTACCCTGCAGCCCCTCTGGCCCTCTTGCTGTGCTCAGTGCTGTTTGAGCTGAATGAAGAGTCCAAACCAAACTCCCAACTCAGTTTTTTAATGCAGATGCCTCAGCTGGAGGATTCCCAACCACTTATTGGACTTGTGGCACAATGCAGGGGAATCAGCAGTGTTCTTTGGAAACGATTCCCTCGGAGGACAGTTACAGGTTGTGGCGTTTCAAAGAAGTTTGAGGCCATGAGTGCTAAATGCAAAGGGAAGAGGGGTTTTTTTGTTGTATTTTAAGAAATGAAAAAGGTGAAATCTTTCCTTTTGTGTGGGGTAACAGTGTTGTGCTGCTGGAAGGTGCTGGATGGCTGTATGTACCCCTCATGTGCCAAGCTACTTCCCTGGAGCTTGGTTGGAAATATTTTTAAAGTTCTGATACAGGCTCGAACTGCAGTGTCAGCGAGGGGCTTTGGGGTATCTCCTCTCTCCTACAAAGATTTTCTTATTTGTTTGTGTGTAGATAAGTATTTTTCTACTGTTGTTATTCAGGTAAGGAAACAGGTGAGCAGACTTTTTATAAGTTGTTAGATATACATAAAATTTTATACGGTTATTTCAGGGCTGGCAGCTGCTTGCAATAGCAGTGACCTGGCAGTGAAGTCAGTGGCAGTTGCAGGACTGTGTGCCCACAGGTAGGTTGGGTCTTTAACCCATATTTTTTTTCCTATTGCACTTAGATGAAGTGCCACTGCATTTTGTAGGCGTCTGTGTCGGTAAAGGCTGAGCTCTGGCTTCTTAACCCTGTTAAGGGAGGGTTTTGGGACTGATTGTTCAGAGAGGCACTATTTTTAATCTGGAACCAGAGCAATCACCTGTGATGTTGGTAGTCTGGTGCTCAGCAAGGGAAGCAGTGCTGGTTTTCAACTTCCACTGCTCAAGTGGCCAAACTTCAGCGAAGCCATCGCTATCTTCCATCCTAACTGTAATTATGTAGATACAGTCCGGATTGAAACTTAAGATTTTGTACTTAAGCTGTCACTTCAGGTTTACCTGTGGTTTTTGTGTTGTTTTAAGGGAGGAAATAAAGCCAGCTCAGTCACTTGAAAAAGCACAACAGGACTAGAGGAAGGAGGGAACAAGAATGAAGTAGAAGGCCTGGCTGATGTCTCTCCCCATGAAGTCTGCTCTGCTTCAAGATACTATATGAGCTATTTATTCTTCAAGTTGTATTAAAATAAAAACAATGCTGTTGGCCTTTGGAGAGGATTGCCTGAGCATATATGCAGGCTTATGGGGCCAGACAATACAAGCCACTAGCAGTTAGTAGTCAGGAAACCAAAAAAATCAGACATACATTAGGAGTAAACTTTATTCAGAGTAGTAAAAATAGCTGAGTTTATTCCCTTTTTTTTCTACCTTTACTGCAAACTCTGACAGCAGTAGTTACAGTGTTTAATACCCTTACCCCTAGATGAATTAAGTTGCGTTCATTCAAGAAATAGTGCCATGGTGATGCTAGAAAAAAAGCTCATGTAAAATTTATAGCCTCAAAAGGACACTGTCAAGTACTTTTATATTTTTATACATCCCATTGTTTGTAAATATCCTCTGATAAGCTTGAAAATAAAATTTATTTCCCTATCAGACTTGTTCTTTTTATTTACATGAATTATCTCTCCTATCAAGTGCTCTTAGGAGTAAGTGTTTTTTTTATACTTCCTTGTTTGTGGATTTGCCATTAGCTATGCCCTGCTGTGGGAATTCTGTTAGCAGTAACTCCTTTTGCATGCATCCTGTCACCACTCTCTTCATAAAAATATCTTCAAAGATGTCAAGGCATCTTGGTTTTAATCAGGTACCAAAGCTGAGTACATTTAAAGTCTCCTGAGCATATCTGTTTGTTACTGACAAATTTTGATTCCACTAGGAAATATTCACTCAGCTCTACCCTAAAACCCCCCAAAACACTGTTAATTCTCTGCTCTGTGTGTGCTGGTTTCTGAATGTGCAGTGTTTTATTTCTACTCATACTGCTGTCAGTCAGAAGGTTTAGTGTGCTGCACTAGATTTACTCTGAAACAGCACTCCCTGCCAAAACGTGGCTGGGCCCTGAAGCAGACTGATTTGAGAAAATTGCCTGAAGTAGTAAGGTGAAATTTCATCTGCTTTTCAGTTCAGAGATAAAATATTTAGTTCTTACCTTACTGCCTGCGTGTTGATGACAGGATTGCAAAACCATAAAATAAACCAGTCTATTCCTTTTACTTTGATTTTTTTAAATAGGTTGCTATTGAAAGCTACTGCTATCAGACTTTTTCTATAGTGTTTGAAATTACTTCAATGAGAGTTCATTAAATCCAGCAACAGGTGGTAAGGGAGGCTTTGGTCCTGGCTTATCTTTCTTGTCAGGATGTACTAGTCTGTGGTGAGGCAGCAGGGCAAAAAAGTTAAAGCAGTCCCCCATCTTCTCAGGATTCATCAGCATATCAGAGCTGTGAAGTAACTGCTCACGAGTTGCTGTGTCACGAGAATTCTGCAAGAGCACCTGAAGGAAAAGAGAATGCAGGTTACAGCCCTTCCTGCTTTCCTGTGAGTTCCCTCACACCTGTGATCCCTGCTTGCATCCTTTTCACTCACACTAATCTAACACTGCTGTAATGGTTGGTCGAGCTGGTGAGACCTCTGGTGGAGCTCATACACTGATGAATGTGGCAAAGTTTTGCATTACATGCTCATAAATACAATATGATCAGTTTACTTCCAGGGATCTGGAGTCACTTCAGTCTAGGAGAGGCAACTTTCTGTTCTCACACCTATGTGTTATTTTGAACAACTTTTGTTTAAAATCAGATTTTTATACAAACTCTCTTGCTGCTTAAAGAGTACTGCCTGTGGATCGGGAGAGTTTATGTACCTGCAATCGGAGGTCGATGCCCATGTTTTTTAAGAACTCCCTCTGTTTTATGGGGCCTAATGTAGCTGTTCTTCCCTGTGTCATCTTCCGAAGATAGCTGAAATCCACGTCTGCTGTCAGGTCTGCTGTCCCTGGAGCACTCAGCACATCGTGAGGTTTGTGATTCCGGAAACCCTGAAAATTAAATCAGATGGTAATACTCAGCTGTAGTCCAGCTGCCACAGCTGGGGCCAGCCAAAGCTAAGTTCTGCATGTGAGGGGTGAGAATGGCAAATAATATCTGGAAAAAGTGTAGCAATGACTCAGATTATCCTTTCCATCTGCCAGAAACCCTTATGTGTACTGATTAAGTAAGAATCACTCAGTTTTACTGCTGCAGCATAAATGCAGTTTTTCCTACTATGTCCACCTAAGAACTTTCAAGAACCTAATGATCAAAGGGACAAAAGATAACAGAATATTTTGGCTTATTATTTCAGGGTAAACGACTTGCCCGGAAAGTGTCAGTTTTGGTTCCATCATGACCATAATCCGCCACCAGTGCAGCCCCACCATCCTCTTCTATGCGACAGGCAAGTCTCTGCACGATGACACCAGCCTCAGGACACACTTCCACATGGTCTCTTGTTTCTTCTGGCTAGTGCAGAGTTGAAAGATCAAACACCTGTATTAGCAGACAAGTACGGGGCAAGACTTCGTCACACTTGATGTCTTGGGACTGTCGCTTCGTTGGGGCACAGAGGCACAGGGGGTGCATTCTAGGCTACCTCCAGCTTGAGCTAGTTTTTGCTATCTGTCATTTTCAATCAGTGTTTTCTGACTGCTGGATTTCAGTCATCTCTTATATAACCTGTAGCCAAATAAAATTTTCTAGCAAGTATCAGGTGAAACTTCATTACTGTGGCACTGAAAGAATGAAAATGGCTCATCAGCTATGCACACTCTGCAAAAAAACCTTTCTGTGTGAAAATGGTTTTAATCTCCAGTGCTTCATTTTGTAACTTTGAGAATCCAGTGAACTGAGACAGACTCCTCTTGCTGTCACAGTAACTGAGAAGCAGTAAATGTACTTGAAAGAGTCAGTAAAGATGTAAATAGGAGCTCTGGTAGGCAGAACCTCACCTGAATGAAGTTTTCTGTTGCAGGAGTACTGGATGGTGACAGGACAAACCGCAGCTGGTCAGGAGCTTCTGGATCTATATCAACCAACACTTCACGCCAGCCTTTCTCTGTTCTCTGTTTAATGAGCCCAGAGCACTCATTTTACACTCTAACGGATACAACAGTGTCTTGTTTGTTTGAACTAATATGTCAAGAATACAGTCTGCTATGAACAACTACTCATTCCTACTTAATTCCAGCAACTGCCTTAGAAAAAGCTTGTGGTAGAGTCTTTGTGCAGAGCCAACAAATACAGGTTCAATTATCCTCCAAAGGAATGAATGATGCTCTGAATAAAAATGCTGCCTTTTCTATTGACAATGCAACATTTAACTTATCAAAACACAACAATTCATTCTACTGGTGACTTTCATAAACGAGTTAGTTTCTTCTGAATCATAACAAGTCTCTATTTTGCTACTCTTGTTACCATTAAAATGAAAGCCCTTCAGACTTCGTTAGCGGTGGTACAGAAAATCATGTGGGAATTAAAGACTTCATTAATGTAGCATAAGAAATAAAACAACCTTGAGAGTTATCTCAGCTAAAAGAAATCCTTAGCTTTTTACGAGTTTTTCCATTCAAGAACAGTTACTAATTTTACAGTTACCAGCTGAATTAAGCCTTATTTGTCCAAATTCAGTTAGAATTATTTTATCACCAGAGGCAGTGCAGGTGTCTAGTTTGGCACCTTAATTCTGTTCTTCCTCAAAGAGAAAAGCTGTTTAAGCAGGTGGTCAGAGTAACAATAATCTTTTGGCTATACCTGAAACTTATGTATTGGCAGGGCATCAAAGAACTCATGTGCTAAGTAAAAGCTGTAACCTGGGGGAAGGTAAAAAAAAGAATACATTAAATTATGAATGCTTCTCTAGCAGCTTCCAGTTGAAAACTGAAATGTTTTTATGATTTTTAATATATTAAGCTAGTTAATGTGATTGTGAAACAATTATAATTACTTCCAGTTTGGATACATCAAAGAAAGGATTTTTACAGCTAGCTACAGCCAGTCCATGAATTTTAGATCATTATCACATGAAAGGACATTTGGGCAAAGCCAGTGAATGGTTTCCCATGGAAAGAAAAGGTCATAATACAGGAAATTGCATAGCTATCCCCAAACGAAGGTGGCAGTGATGAAAATGAGCCAAGATCCTGCCTCAGATTCATACCAGTGAGAACAAGTATGTATATTAACTACTTTTCTGTCTAGTGTGAAGGCTGGCAGAGATGCCTCCGTTATCCAAAGCTGCAAATGAAGGAAGGACACCATCCCTTTAATGGGACACTCAAGCTCCTTACCTGGAGGCACATCTTGAATGTCTCTGTACCAAGAAATGGGAATTCCAGTCTTGCTAACACCTTTCATGTAAGCAGAATTGTCCTCAGGGTTTGGCTGCACCTTCCCTCCCATCAGCGTCAGTGCTTGGGTTTCGCTGAGCTTGGGACTCACTTCTACCAGGTGAACAGAGACATCACATTTACTAAGTACAGAGGAGAGCTGGCTGAAGACCTATAAAGGCAGATGAATTCTATTAGGCACAGTCTTGTGCTGTATATGTTAAAGGTTTAAGTATTAACCTTTTGTCTCACTGTTCATGTTCAAGATAAAAGATTTAGTTGGCTTTCATTTAACAAAACACTGCACTCTGCTCCTCCAGAAGGAAGGAGGAATTTTTCCTAGATTTTAATAAAAGCGGCTATGTTTTCAGTAAAGTTGGCAAAACATAGCACACATGACATGGCTGTAAGGTAAGGACAACATGAAATACTAATTTGGAATAGTAATAGCAGCTCCTCTAAGACCTGCAGAGGCTTTAGCATTAAGAGAAAATGGCTCGGTTTTCTCTGACACCATAAACAAGTGTTCAATGTCCCACATTTCACTGTGTTTGATTTTTTTCATTAAAATACATAAATAGAATGAAAGTTCTTCTGACGTACCAAATCTCATTAGTGATCTGTTTATGAATCAGTGGTATTTTAATTGGGAGCCATGACTGAACACAAAGGGTTAACTCAGGAGAAATAAGCCCCTGAAATCCCCAAAGCAACTAATACAATTTCACTCCTGTGTTATTGTCCTCCCCCTCTTCCTCCTATTCCTTGCACTGACTCCTATGTCCCAGTTACACACAGCAGCACCCTCCTAAATGGTTGTCAGTTTGGATAATGCTTTCCTATACGGAGAAAATTAGTGATGGAATTCCTTTCTGTCAAGCAGTGTTCGAAAGGTCACACACATGTCCACACACTGTGCACACAGCAGCCTGTGTTCTGCTTCCAACCGGAGAGACTTAGTCTCAGACACAAGACACACATCTATTTCCATGAGAGTCCAAACTGCAAACCTGACTGATGTGATTTGGTTACTAGGGCAGGTTAAACCCTGAGAGCCAAACACCATCCCTCCAGATTTCACAGCAGCCATGGAATAAAGCCAGAAATCATACGAATAGTTTCCACCTACCCGCAGTATATCCTCAGTAAGGGTGCCCTTCCCTGGGCCCAGTTCCACCAGCTGGAAGGTGCTAGGTCTGCCCATGGCCATCCATTCACTTATATACCATATTCCTATCAACTGATGGTGAGACACAACACAAACAAAGAGTTACAACAATAACTTGTGCAAAGTGGTACGTGCCCTTTGTCTGATAATAACTAAGGCAACATGGCACATCCTCTCTCCATATTTTAAAGTTAAGACAAATTATGATACATAACTTCATGCTCTTCTCTTTACATATTAAAACTGGTGATTGTTTGCTGTCAGCCCAGGAGAAGCAGCTCTCCATCAGTAAATGGGTGGGACTCTGTTCTGGCTGGAGCCAGAACTTTGACTTAAGGCCCAAATGTAGGTCACTGCCCAGGTGACTCTGAACAACTGTTCTTCATGACAGTGCATTAACCAAAGTGTCATCAAGAACAGCATTTAGCCAGTCTTCAGTACTGGAAATGAGACACAAACAAGACTGAGCCAGACAGAAGTCTGGAAATTATTTCTGAGGAGAGTTTTCACACTGGGAAACCACCCTTTTTATTTATAAGCAAGCTCTGTATGAAAGTGTCAATAAGGAGTGTTTCAGACCATACACATGAAAGGACTTGCAGGAAAACAAAACACCGCTTGCTCCCTCAAAACAATTTTTCTTTTGGGAAATAACTTGAAACCTAACTACTCGAGTATTTTGACACTGGTGAGGTACCTGAACGGTGACTTGGAAATCACAGAATGGGTAAACCTGGCAGGGACCATATCTGGTCCAACCTCCCTGCTCAAGCAGGGCCACCCTAGAGTACATGGCACAAGACTGTGTCCAGAAGGTTCTTGAATATCTCCAAAGAGGGAGACTCCACAACCTCTCTGGGCAATCTGTTCCAGTGCTTGGTCACCCACACAGCAAAGAAGTTCTTCCTCTTATTCAGGTGGAACTTTGTGTTCATCAGGTTCTACCTGTTGCCTCTTGTTCTATTGCTTGGCTCCACTGAGAAGAGCCTGGGTCCACTCTCTTCACACCCACGCTTCAGATCCTCTTTAAGTCATCTCTTCTTGAGGTGGAACAGGACCAGAGCCCTCAGCCTTCGTCGTAAGAGAGGAATCACCTTTGCAGCCCTCTGCTGACCCACCTCCAGCAGCTCCATGTCTTTCTCGTACTGAGGAACTCGGAACTGGACACAGCACTCCAGACATGGCCTGAGAGGCAAGATCACCTCCCTTGACCTGCTGGCAGTGCCCTAACAAATGCACCCCAGGATACCGGTGGCCTCCTAGGGCACACTGTGGGCTCATGGACAGCTTGCTGCCCACCAGGGCCCCCAGCCAGCCCCGCGCAGATGAAGAAAGTAAACCAACATTACTCAAGACACAAGGCGCTGTGTTACCTCTCCAAACACCTGGCTTATTTCAGGTGAGGTGATGAAG